CAAAATTTATAGATACTTGGTTGTAGTTGATGGATAAAAATCATATTTTTGTGAAATATAATACAAGTTTTGTTTGTTGGGATTGGAGTTGACATTGCTTGCCACGATCTAAGGCCTGTTTTGAAGTTTATGACTTTCAACTTCTTCAAGCAGGTTAGAGTATATCTTGATTGCATCCTTTCTTTCCTAAACTAAGTGTGGAGTTAAGTGTTAAATTTTTCATGCACCACTTAATTTATGTATAAGTACAATGTACGTAAATTTGGCTACCTATGAATATTATTAGATGACACTATATATATGAGTTTTATTTTATGTTATAAGAATACCTAGGTTATCAAGTTTTCAACACATGAGTGATTCCATAAGTAAAATGTTGACTCCCCTATGAGGTTGTGTTGATAATCACAATTGTCAATCTAGGATAAAGATCTGTGGCCAACTTGAAAAAATGCTTGAACGGGATAGCAAAATAGTTTATGCAATTTTTTAGTTGTGGAAGAAAATAGTTTATGTAGTGAGGAAATGCAAAATTACAAGATAATTTAGAATTTTTTAAAATTATTTTCAGTCTTATAGTGTAGATAGATTTTTTTATAATGTTTTTACACTTATAGTCTTTTAATTATTTTATGAGTGGGAAAGATAATTAGTTCTACCCTCTGTAGACCCCTAAAATTGTCCGGGTCGGAAATACCCAGCGCACAACCCATAGATTCATCAAGTACCGAGATATACAGAATGAGAGGTCTCCCTGAAATGGGAGGTACCAAAACTGGAGGGTCTTGTAAATACTGGTTGATCTTCTCAAAAGCTTTTTGATAATCTTCATTCCAGGTGGTAGTTAATTGAGATATGAACCTGGCAATGTAGTTCAACCTACCTAAGAAACCACAAACTTCTTTTTATGTACTAGGAGCTGGCATTTCTAAAATTGCTCGCACTTTGTTAGGGCCACCTCTATACCCTTTTCATTAACTACAAATCCCAACAACTTGCCTGACTTCACACCAAAAGTACATTTGGCAGGATTAAGTCGGAGCTTATACTTCCTTAGCCGCACAAATAGCTTTTGTAGATTCGTGATATGCTCTACCTTTGTTCTTGACTTGGCAATCATATCGTCGACATAAACTTCAATCTCTTTGTGCATCATATCATGAAACAAAGTCACCATAGCTCGTTGATAGGTTGCTCCAGCATTCTTCAATCCAAAGGGCATCACTTTGTAACAAAATGTTCCCCATGATGTAATAAATGTAGTTTTTTCCGCCATTTTGGAGTTTAAGGCTAGAGTGTTAGAGGTTTATGGAGACTTAGCATTGATTGTTCATCAACTCAGAGATGAATGGGAAACTCGGGATTCTAAATTAATTCCATACCACTCATACATCAAAAAATTTGATGGAACAGTTTGAGGAAATAACTTTCCATCACATCCCTCGTGAGGAAAATCAATTGGTTGATGCCCTGGCTACATTGTCTTCGATGTTCAAGATTAGTTAAGGAAAAGAGGTTCCACTATTAAGAATACAGAATCAAGGTCAACCAGCATATTGTCAAGCAATAGAGGAAGAACCAGACGGCAAACCATGGTTCTATGACATCAAGCGCTATCTAAAAGACAGAGAGTACCCTCCCGGAGCTTCAGAAAATGACAAGAAAACTTTAAGGAGATTGGCAATAAGTTTCTTCTTAAATGGAGAAGTACTTTATAAAAGAAATCATGACATGGTATTGCTTAGATGTGTTGCTGCTAAAGAAGCTATGGAAATCATGGAAGAGATCCATGAAGGTTCATTCAGAACACATGCAAGTGGACATGTAATGGTAAGAAAGATCCTAAGATCTGGCTATTATTGGTTGACCATGGAGGCTGATTGTTGTAGTCATGTGAGGAAGTGTCACAAGTGCAAAATTTAAGCAGATAATATTCATGTTCCCCCAGCATCTTTGAATGTATTGGCTGCTCCATGGCCCTTTTCAATGTGGGGAATAGACGTGATTGGTCCAATAGAACCAAAAGCATCCAATGGGCATCGATTCATTCTTGTTGCTATTGACTACTTCACTAAATGGGTTGAAGCAGCTTCTTATGCTAGTGTGACCAGAAACGTGGTGGTCAAATTCATTAAAAGAGCTTTAATTTGTAGATACGGGTTTCCAAGTCGTATCATTACTGATAATGGGACCAATCTGAACAACAAGATGATGAAAGAGTTGTGTGAAGGTTTCAAGATTCAACATCACAATTCTTCACCATATCGCCCTAAGATGAATGGGGCAGTAGAAGCAGCAAACAAGAATATTAAAAAGATTATTCAAAAGATGGTGGTCACCTATAGGGATTGGCACAAAATGCTCTTTTTTGCCCTACATGGATATCGCACTTTTGTTCGCACCTCTACTAGGGCAACTCCATATTCTCTGGTTTATGGTATGGAAGCAGTGCTTCCCATTGAGGTTGAGATACCCTCTCTAAGAGTATTGTCTGAAACCAAACTTGAGGAAGCAGAATGGGTTCATGCTCGCTATGATCAGTTGAACCTCATTGAAGAGAAAAGATTGAATGCCTTATGTCATGGTCAATTATATCAAAAAAGGATCAAGAGGGCTTTTGACAAAAAGGTTCATTCGCGAGAGTTTCAAGAAGGAGATTTAGTATTAAAAAAGATATTGCCACCTCAAAAAGATCATAGAGGGAAGTAGACCCCGAATTATGAAGGGCCTTATGTGGTAAAAAAGGCTTTCTCAGGAGGGGCTTTGATTCTCACAAATATGGATGGAGAAGATCTGTTGAACCCAATAAACTCTGATGCAGTCAAGAAATACTATGTATAAAGGAGAACACAAAATAATAACAAAAAAGCTCGCTAGGTTGAAAACTTGGAAAAGGCAGCTTAGACAAAATATAGAGTGACCTGGTAGGCTGAAAACTCAAAAAGAGTGGCCTAGGCAAAAGTTAGGGTCTAAAAAGAAAATGAAAACAAATAATAACAAAAAGAAAAGGCTCGCTAGGCTGAAAACCTGAAAAGACAGTTTAGGCAAAACTTAGAGCGACCTGGTAGGCTGAAAACTCGAAAAGAGCGGTCTAGGCAAAAGTTAAGGTCTAAAAAGAAAAAAATGAAAACAAATGAAAGAAAAAGAAAGACTCACTGGGCAGAAAACCTGAAAGGGTAGCTTAGGCAAATATCAGAGCACCTTTTCTATAAGAAGGTGAAGAAGGAGGAAGTAGATATTACAACCAAAGTACGAAGCTAGGGCAAATTGGAAGATCAAGGCAATGTTTAAAGTGCTCAGCAAGCATTTGATACCTTTAGAGGCCAATTAATGGGGTTCTCAAAGTTGTTGATATGGGGAATTAGTGTTACTTCCCTAAAAATATGATTTGTTATTCTCCCCTTGTTTTGGTTATTGCCATTCTGATGTACTTGTACTTTCTTCCTTGAAGCAATAAAAGCCCATATTCCTCACATTCGTCATTTTTGTGTGTTTATTTCATTATTATATTCTAAAAGTGCAACATGCGATGCAAGAAAAACAAAAAAATAAAGTAAAAAATAAACTAAAGTATTTCAATTACGATGTTTGATTCTAAGAGTCATAAAGAAAAGAAAGGTCTTCAACTAACTCTACTAAAGAAGATTATAGATGTTGAAGGCTTTGAATTGTACTATTCTAATCAGGCAAGATAGCCTATCTGGCGATGCAATAATTTGACAAGAGGTCGGCTTGAGCACTCATGCTCGTAAGGGGTCAAAGGTCGAAAAAATGATGGAAAAGAAGGATGAAAAGTGAAAATCCATTTAATTCTTTCCACTAAGGTCATTCCACATTGCATATCATGCATACATTTCATTAATAATGAACCGATCGAGCATTTATCGTAACTCTTAAGTTTAAATTTTCTTATACTTACTTGACTACCATCTCACTCGTATTAATGTTTCGAGCCTCCGCGCTCACTCTTTTATGCATCGAGCCGCCGCGCTCAATCCGCTCATTCTATTTTTTCTATGCTTTGAGCCCCCATGCTCATTCTTTTAATGTTTTGAGCTTTCGCACTCACTTAGTCAATGCTTTGAGCCTCTAAGCTCACGCTTTTAATGTTTTGAGTCTCTATGCTCACTCCATTAATGTTTCGAGCCTTTAAACTCACTCTACTAATGTTTCAAGCCCTGCACTCTTAATTCTCAATATTTTGAATCCCCGAGTCCATTGTTTCACATTTTGAGTCCCCGTGCTCATAGTTCTCGACATTTTGGATCTCCGAGTCCATTATTTTTATACTTTGAGTCTCCGTGCTCTTAATTCTCAATATTTTGGATCCCTGAGTCCACTATTTTCATATTTGAAGTCCTCGTGCTCTTCATTCTCAATATTTTGGATCTCCAAGTCCACTATTTTCATATTTGAAGTCCCCATGCTCTTAATTTTTAATATTTTGGATCCATGAATCCACTATTTTCATATTTAAAGTCCCCATGCTCTTAATTTTTAATATTTTGGATCCCCAAGTTCACTGTTTTCATATTTGAAGTCCTCGTGCTCTTAATTCTCAATATTTTGGATCCCTGAGTCCACTATTTTCATATTTGACGTCCCCGTGCTCTTAATTCTCAATATTTTGGATCTTTGAGTTCACTATTTTTCATATTTTGAGTTCCCATGCTCTTAGCTTTCAATATTTTATATCCCAAAGTCCACTATTCTTTTGATATTTTAGGATTCCTATGGTTATTACTTTAAGATTCTTATACTCTCCAATGTATGCTAAATTCTCATGACTATCTTTCCTCTAAGTGGCGAATACACGTAACTTTTGCCCTAGACAAAATTGGAGTTTAAGTCTTTACTTATCTTTTACTACAATTATATGAAAACTACTATTATTCATATTCTTTAGTAAAATTTAAGTAAAGAGGGGGCAACTGTAAACACCAATTTTTATCCCACTAATTTTTCTACTAATTTATTTCCCAAAATTTTCAAATTAATGATTCAAGAAAAAATCATTTACAAACTAGATTTAAACTCAAAAATACACACAATAAGCATAAATAATAAATAGAAAAAATAATAAAAGAAAATAAAAAAAAACAAGAAAATAACAAAATAATCTTTTCCTCTGCACCTAAAATCTCTACCATCCCACACTTTTCTGTACGGTTATTTCTTCTCTAACAAGCTTGCTGAGCTCCTCTGCCCTAGCCACCAACATGTCCCCAAGAGCATGCTTGTGCCATATATGCTTCCAAAAACATGAGCTTGGACCAACTGCCAAAGAACAATTAAAAATAATAGTGAGTCTATATATAATAGAACATGAACAAAAGGGGGACAACAATTTTTTTTTTTGAAAGAGAGAAGAATCAAGGATAACAAAAAATTTCAAACAGAAACAACTCAAGCAGAAGGCAAAAGAAGAGGCCAAAGTAGTGCAGGTATCAATTACTCTCTCTGATTTTTATTTAGTATGATGTTGTTATTATATAGGATGCAAAACAATTTCTGATTACTAAGACAATTTTATTTTTAGTGAACCTTTTACCATGTAATCGAAACCCTCATTCTCAAACCTCAGTAAAGCATTTAACAACTAAAAAAAATCTAGATAGAAAAATAGATGAAAATAGAATAAAAAGGGGTGATGAACAGTACCAGGAAAACAGTGCTTCCCGTGAACACCATTATGCACTGCTACCGTAGGCGATTTCCAGCCACCGCGAGTGTCGCCGTGCACCGCCACGCGCCGCGGTCGGAGGCGATTTTCGATGGAGGCATCGTCGGCCTTTAGCCTTTTCCGTGGACCTTTACTATGCCCGACCGAGACGAAATGCACACCACCGTCAGAAACGATTTCTGGTGGCGGCCACCACCCTCTACCTTTCTTCGTTTCCCTTTTTAGCTATCTCCCAAGTACCGAGATATACAGA